TTACAAATCGAAAATCCATCATTGTTTAAGGCCATGAGGCTGGATGGTCGCATGCCTTGACCACCTCCGAAGGTGGGCATGTATTACAAATCATACTGATAATGATTGATTGAAAGTAAGTGTGCAAACACATACGCGTATGTGGAAAAGGTGTGGGTTATAGGTTCATTGCAAACAAAGACATATTAGGTTACAAGTTTCAGTTACCTAGTTGAACAGTTAGTCAAGATTACCAAATCGTAATACAAGTGAAGATAAAGAAGCGCAGAAGCAGAAATGATTCGAACAAAATATTTTCATTGCAAAAGATAACAGCAGGTCGACAGAAATACAAGGTTCATCAAAATACAAAATACAATTACAATCAAATAAGGCAAAGCTGATCTACGGAGGAGGAGCAGCGGCAGAGTCATCATTGCTCGAGCTGGCGTTCGGATCTGGCAGATGGCTGATTCCTAAAGTTGAGTCGCAGGCCTCATTAAGTGGGCGTCGTCGAATGGATTCGGCCAATGAGACCAACATAGGAGCTGGAGGGGTCACGCCATCGAGCAGGGCGTATGTTTTCTTCAGTGTATCCGATCGAGCCAAGGTTCTCTCAAGCAGCCCTGATCACCACTCATGCTCGAGCGGTAAGTTAGGATCGTCCTAGAAGCCAGAGGGAACCTTAGGCAAGGCGTCCCAGATAGCCCCCGGGTCAAGCTGCTCGAAATCATCCTCGGTGATCTGCTCGTCAGCCTTCTGCAGGGCAAACTGAAAACAGTCTACCCCAAAGCCTTGGACCTCCTTCAGAAATTGTGGTGTCTGCATGAAGTCAGCCACCACTTGTGTGCGGTACTCTTGTAGGAAGAGCTGCCCAGTTGTGGTAGCCCACATCATTTGCCGAGCTCGAAGAGCAGCAACATCAGTGTAGCGTTTGAGCTGTTGAGCGTGGGCATCCCTTTCCTTGGCCAGAGTGGCCTCCAGCTCAATTCGAGCAGCCTCTGCCTGCGCTCGAGCAGCCCGCTCTTTCTCGAGCGCCATCTCTTTCTCTTTCAAGGCAGCCTCTTTCTCCACCACTGCCACTTCCTTCACCGCAAGAACGACTTCTTTCTCCGTGAGAGCTTTGTTCTTTTGAACAAGCTCTTCATCAAGAGACTTAACTTTGAATATGAACTCGGCCTTCTGCTCAGTTTGGGTCTCGCGGAGTTTAGTATTGGGGTGCAGGAGGGTGGCATTCTTGTCGTTCACAGAACGGAGGACCTCCTCGAGACTCTTAATAGACTTCCCAGAGCTATCTCGAGCCTCCTTGGCCAGGAGCAAAAATTGGACCAAGCCCTATAATCAAAGAAGATAAAACAGTTCAATGCATGTGTAGCGAGGAAAAATGATAGGAAAGAATCGAAGCCCACACAGGACGAGCAAATACCTGGGCAAACCATTGCACGAGCTGTTCGCCCACTTCCGGTAGACTAACGCCAGCTTTTTGAGGTCATCCTCGAGGAGGGCACCCTCGAGGCATTCGACCACTTCATTTACAGGGGCCGACAGTAGAGAACTGGACTTTGGGACCAGTGGGTCAGGCGAAAAGTGGCTGGTACGCACGCGTTTCCAGACTCTCTCCAGTTGGTCGGTGCGAGGACGTTTTCCTATGGCCACGTCACGCCCTGGATTGTCCTGGCCGCTGGACTCGACCATGGCCTTGGTCGAATCAGCGGCATCTTGGGTTTTGGATGGTTGTTCGAGGGGAGTCTTTTTTTAGGTTTTGGATTTGGAGGAGATAAGGGGCTCGGAAGAATTGTCTTTGGTGTTGGAGTGAATGGCATCATTGGGATTGGTAGTTCGAGGGTCGATTTTTGGGAAGAGGATTGGCTGTTACCACTCTTGGAGGTGGTCGAGCTCTTGGCTCCAGCCTTCTCGGAGCCAGTCGAGGTTTTGGTCCCAGTTTTTTCAGGGACATTAGGAGTTTTAGTGTTGGTTTTTTCGGGAGGTGGTCGCACAATGGTCTTGGATGGAAGGGGTGAAGTTTGTCGTTCTGGTGGGCGCTGTTGGTGTTGCTTCTGCTGCTGTTGTTGTTGTTGTTGTTTTTGTGGCAGTTGTTGCTGTTTTTGCTGGTGCTGCTGTTGCGATTGTTGTGACGGTGGCGGTTGTGGTGGAGACTGTTGTCGATCTGAGGGGGCTGCGATGAAGTGGTCGATCCCTCGACCCTATCCCCAGTCGATCCAGAGGTGGGCCTAGACTTGTTTTTGAGAGGAGTCTTCCTCAGTGGGATGTTGAAGCTAGGAACCTCTGCAAGAAGACAGCAGAAAAATAAAAATGAGCATTGACAAGATACATCTATATGAAGAACAGAGAAATATATACACTCGAGCAAACTGGTCGAAAATTACCTGGATCATTCTCAATCCTAATCAGATTAAGAACTTCGTCGGTGGGAGGAGAGTAGGGCTGCACACGAATCGAGCAGCTCGCGAGCCGCTCGCGAGCGCTCGAGTCAAAGCTCGACTCGAGCTCTAGTTTGACAGAACTCGAGTCGAGCTCGAGCGGCTCGAGCACGAACTCGAGTCGAGCTCGAGCTTATATTTTTCATTCTCGAGCAGCTCGCGAGCAGCTCGAGTTGTAGGTTAAATTACTAAAATACCCATATATATAAATGTATAATCATATTATTATATATACTTATTGGTAATTTACATAAAATGTATAACAAAGTAAAAAATCAAAATAATCATCCACTTGCTAGTTATCATTGTTCGACACATCACTAATCACTACACCAAAAATCACATTTTCCATTTTCAAAATTTCATTCACGCATCTGCCATTCTCTCACTCCGCAAGAACCCTAGTTCTTCTTCAGCTTAATTACATCCCAAATTTCACGCCCAATTTCATTCCCAATCTCATTTCCCGAAAGCGTTGGTCAGAGATTAAATGTTCGTCTGAATTTCATCCCAAAATTTCCTTTCCCGCAAGCGCTCGGTCAAAAAATTGAGAATGAGCTGAAAAATACCGCAACCCGCGGTCGGAGATTAGTGATTAAGTTCGGCCCAAATTGTCTTGCTCGTCTCTGTGCTCAATTTATGGTAAATATATATAGGCTTGTTCATTTTCTTTCTATTTTAGGGTTTAAATCCCAGAACTCTATTTTTTTTTGTTTCTTTTCATGAACAATTTATTTTATTATATTTTGATTATAGGTTTTATTTCATCGTGCGTTCATATACATCATTGTCTTTTTCCCTTCTATTTTTAGAATTTTTCAGTTCTAGTGTGGAATGTAAGTTGATTGTTATTGAAACACAACAAGACGGTGATTCTTCAGCTTGTAACCGATGGTACTTTCGAGATGTATTAGGTACAATTATTGATTTTTGGGAAGATTTAGTGTGTACAATGCTTGATTTGTCATACTGCTACCTCGAGTTTTATGTATTTCTTCGTTAACCAAGTTGTCGGAAATCTTAACACTTGTTTGTCCCATTTTTGTTGCTATTTTCGTTGATATTTTGTGTGTCGTCTCTCCCGTTTTAGGTCTTTTCTTAGGTATTTCCAGTCTCTTTTGTCGTTTCTTGCGGTTTATCTTTATTGTGGTGTGTTTAGTATTTTCTGTGTTCTTTTTCCTATTTTCTCCGTTTTTTGTTTCTCTTTTCGGTGGTGCGATTTCAGGTCTTCGGTTGATCGGGTTGGAAAGTATTCAAACATGGAGAAGTGGATGATTCGAGCAGCATTTTGAGGGGCCCGAGCACACAAGCTGTGGAAGAAGGAGCAAAAATTTGGAGGAACAGGACCTTAGCGCCGCTAAGGCCCTGTGGAAAGCGGCGCTTTGAGGCTAGGCAGCGGGCAGAGCTGAACAGATAAGATGCCTTAGCGGCGCTAACCCCTTAGCGCCGCTAAGGTCTGTTTTATGACTATCGCGGATTTCATGGATTTTGAAATGGGAAGTGTACTAGATCGATTGGGGGGCGTTTTTTTTTGTCATTCAGACCTGGTTTTTCATTATCTTTCACCCTAGAACATTACTTTTTCTCAATCTTTCATCTTGGATTGGATTTTTGGAGGATTTAAACTCATTTTCTAGCTTTGGATTCGGTTTGCTCGTTGATTCATCGACTTTGGATTTGGTATTAATCGTAAGCTTTTCTTTTCATCTTATACATGAATGTGATGGCTTCTTTTATGGTGAATGCTTGTGTTGATGTTGTGATGAGTGGCTAATCCCATAAGTTAGGGATAGGGGACGATTGTTTCGGTTCGTTTTTAATTACGTGTTTGATAATTGTTCAATCCTTGCGAGTTGTGCATATTCTAGGGTTAGTTGATTGATCACCAATCTAACCTAATCAATTGACGTTTAGAACCGAAAGGGGAGGCGTCGGTCGATTTAGGCTCGTTTTGAATAGACTTGTTCGTTATTGTATTGTCTATGTGTTGTAGGGTTTGATGAGTTGCTCGTGTATGTCCACCTTCTTGTTACGAAGAGTTATTGAAGGTGAACCTCTATACGAATAGGCGATTCAATCCCCTTAACCGAGCAATTGATTGCCCGGTAATTGAGTCAAGAACCGAAAACGATTGTCCCCGACTCCCTAACTCCTTTATAATCAAGTTAATCGTTTGCTTTGAAATTCCGTGTCTCTTTGCTTTATTATTCGTAGTTGATAAATCAAATCTCCAACTTGAATTAGAGTGTTTAGGAAATTCTTTTCTCTTTTCTTGTGATCGAATATCCGTACAAATAATCCGGCTGACCTTCCTCGTGATACGACCCGGTGACGAATCTTTCGATTCTACTCCGGTTAAAAATATTTACAACAACACTTGTTGTGTCATGTCTGTTATTGATGTTATTGATGGTATCGAAAAATTAAAACATACTATAGACGTAGATGTGTTCTGGCTTTAAATTTGTTGATAAACCTGGACATATTATATTGTGCTCCATCATTATTTTTTTTTCTAAGATTTTATGCTTTGTGTTGACATTTCTATTTCAATTATTTTGTGTAATATTGCAAAAAAATATGGCATCTCCTCAAGAACAATCTTCACGAAACACTAGATCAGCCGCTGATTGTGCTAGCCCAATGAACATCATCAATGAAGTTGAAGTTGAGAATGTGGTAGAAGATGTTCCCGATCTTGGAGACCAAGAACTGGACAGTGCAGATGAGGTTGAGGAGTTGGGGGAGAACCCGGCTGAAATGGCAGAACAAGCTGATGCTCTGGATGCGTTCAGAACGAAGAAGAGGGCAAAAAAATCTAAGGCATGGGATGACTTCAAGGAAGTAGATGTTGGTCTTGATAAGTTTTGTGAGTGTAAGCATTGCAAGACCAAGTTTAAGAAAACCAATACAAGCACAACAACAAGTATGTTGAGGCATCTGAAGGTATGTTCCACGAGACTCCGAAAAATCAATGAGCCACAACAACAAAAGATTAATTTCACATGTATGGATTCAAGCACTCCTCATTCGTATCTTCATACTAGAACATTCGACATGGCTACCATGAGAGAATCTGCCGCTGAATGGGTACTTATGCACGAGCATCCCTTTTCAATTGTTGAGGAAGAGGGCTTTAACTTGATGCAAAAAAGAGGAATGCCCAAATGGCAAAAGATCAGCCGAACCACAAACAAGAATGATTGCAAGGTTATATACGAGAGAGAACAGAGCAAGTTGAAAATTTTGTTGAAAAAAGTCCAAAAAATCAGCTTGACCACGGATCTTTGGAAGTCGAAAAATCAAAAGGTTGAATATATGGTGATAACCGGGCACTGGATTGATAGCCAATGGAGATTGCAGAAACGAGTCCTCAACTTTGTGCACATTCCTCCTCCACGCCGTGGTGTTGAAATTGCAGACTCCATATTCAAATGTTTGAAAGAGTGGGGTATTGAGAGCAAAGTATATACCGTGTCGGTGGATAATGCTTCTAATAATGACACTGCACTAAGAGCCTTGAAGAATATCTTTTCGAGAAACAAGTGTTTGTTGGCAAAAGGAGGGTTATTTCATGTGCGGTGCTGTGCACATATCATTAATTTAATGGTTCAAGATGGAATTGGTGAAATTAAGGATATAGTCGATGTGATAAGAAGTAGTGTGGATTTCATTAACAAAACAGATGGAAGGCGTATTCTCTTTGCTGAAATTGTGCAGCAACTTAATCTTCCTGGTAAGGTGCTACTATATGATTGCAAGACAAGGTGGAATTCCACTTTTGAGATGCTAGCTTGTTCTCTCAAGTACCGAGAAGTTTTTCCTAGATTCCAGGATAGAGAAGATAACTACAAGCAATGTCCAACCATTCACGATTGGGACAAGGTAGAGAAGGTCTGCAGCATTTTGAAAGTTTTCTGGACAGCGACTCACGTGATATCAGGTAATGATTATCCCACTTCTAATTTATATCTTAGTGAAGTTTGCCAGATAAAAGTGTTACTCGACAATAAAGCCAATGATGGGGATCTTTTTATTCAATCAATGGTTCGGAAAATGAAAGCGAAGTTTGATAAATACTGGGGTGAGTGTAATTTATTAATGTCAACAGCAGCCATCTTGGATCCGAGGTGCAAAATGAAGGTTATAAAATATTGTTTTCCATTGATATATCCTTCTCATGAAGTGGAACACAATATAAGTAAGGTTCGGCAATCAATATACGAGTTGTACGATGAATACGTCGAGCTGTATAGTCCAAGTTCAAGTGGCCAAATGAGTGCTCAATCTCTTCCCAGCAAGAGCCTTAGTTCATCATCAGTTACAGACTTCTCAGGCATGAGTGAATTTCTCGATCATGTTTCAGCCACTGAGTGTAGTCAACCACAAAAGAATGAGTTAGATTCCTACTTTGAGGATGACCTTCTCACTGCGGAGAATTCGGGCGTGAATATTGTGAATTTAGATGCTCTTCAGTGGTGGAAAGACACAACAAAATACAAGATTTTGCCCAAGATGGCTGCTGATATTTTGGCCATTCCTGTCAGCACGTTCGCTTCAGAAGCTACATTTAGTGCTGGAACCAGAGTGATTGACGCCTATCGTGCATCATTGTCACCGTCAACTGTTGAGATGTTAATGTGTGCTGGCGATTGGTGTCGTAAGCCACACAACATAAAAAAAAGAGATAAGGTAAGGCTACAAGTCTACAACACATTGAAATTTACCACTAGTTAATCAAAAAAGTAAGGTAAAGAAAGTAAACTTAAAAGTTTTATTCTAATCTTTTCATCAAAATTACTACAGCACACTCAATGAAAAAACTAATGTGTAGTGTTAACATTTTATTTGTTGTTTACAGAAAGTGAAGGCAGCCGACGAGGTCATGTTACCTATTCCTTAAAGGTTACCTTTTCCTTTAATGGTCAATCCGTCTTTTAGCTTGTTTTTACTAATTTGGATGAGGTTTTGAGTAATTTTATATCATTTTTATAATTGAAGATCTGTGAGTATTTTTAGGTGTTCGACAAGAGGACATAATGGAATCACCTCAATTTTGGCCAGCCGCAGCAGCAATATATCTATAGCTTCTTACTCTTCATGTTTATCTTTTGATGTGATTTAATGTAATCGTGGGAGTTTCTTTTGGGATGTGTATGCTACTCTGCTTGATGGAACAACATTTTTTTTTTTTTTCTGATTATGTTATATGAATGGTTTGTAGATTTGGATTGTGGCAGCAAATTTAGTTTTGGGAGCTTAGGAGCATAGCTGCTTTAGTTTTGAGAGGTGTTTGTGGATGGCTAATTGAATTTTATGGAATGGAATGCTTTTTGGGAGAATTTCTTAATTGTCTGGACTCTGGATGCTTGAGTTTTGAGATGTGTATATTGGTTAAATGTGGTACATTGATTATTTTGTTGCTAATTTTGTAGATGAATTGGTTAAACAAAATTTCTTGAAAAATTCGAATCGAACTCGAGCCGAGCTCGAGCAATTGTTCGAGCATTTTGAATTTCGAGCCGAACTCGAGCCGAGCTCGAGCTAATATAGTTTTTTATCAAGTCGAGCTCGATCCCCATAAATCTAGCTCGACGAGCTCGAGCTCGAGCTCGAGGAGCTACAAAAAAAAATCGATCCTGCTCGATAAGGCCAATGCTCGACTCGTCTCGGTTCTTTTGCAGCCCTAGAGGAGAGAAGACCTTTGTGGGTGAGCAAACCACAGTAGTGGAGAAGGTTGTCATTTTTTAGGAGAGGGATTGACGTAACGGGTTTGGAATTCCAAACATGAATCCGTTGGTAAAAAAGAGGGTTAGGAGAAGGGTTCGACATTTTCGAGCTTTCTTGGGGAAGCTCCTTGAGCCAAGGAGAAGGGGCCCAAGGAAAAGGAGTATCAGGCTCGATATAAGCAAAAGTATCGGCCCATTTAGGGATGTTGGAGGGGATGTCAGAAATGAAGTGGTCGTTATTACGGATTTTTAGGTAAAGGCCACGGGTCTGTTTTGACGTAGTAGTAATGGAAGAAGGCCAGGTCGAATTGACCTAACCAAACACATGATAAGATTATGAAGGTGGTCATTAAGCGAATGGCCTTTGGAGAAAGCTGGTTTAAGGGAAGCCCAAACCACTTGCAGATGTGGAGTAGGCCGGGGCTGAGAGAAAAATGGATGCCGAGGTCGAATTGGATTTTGAAGAAGGTGTAGTAGTTGGAAGGAGGGCGATCATAGGTATCAGAGGGAGAAGGACGATAGAAGGCCCAGCCAGAAGGAAGACCAACTTTGTCACCCTCTAACCAGTTGATTGAATGAGAAACAGAGGAGGTAGATTTGGAAGCTTTGGTCGAGGATCTTTTGGATGGAGAGGTGGATGCGTTAGGATGAGAGGAATAAGGAGGAATGGTCGAAGCTGTGGAAAAGAAAGGTTGAGAGGAAGTGTTGAGATTGACCTCGCCCTCCTCAGGCTCATCTAGTGAGCCAAAGGCAGGTCGACAACGGCGGAGGGTAATGTTATCCATGGTATCCCCGGAATTAGGAGAAGAAACGCGGGCTTTAAAAACGACGGTGGGAATGGTATCACCGGGGCGAAGGATGGAGAGAGGAACAACTTCGAGTGCAGAGGGCAGTATTTGAACTGAGTTAGAGAAGGTGGCCGAAGAAGGAGATGGAGGGCTCAAATCAACACCAGAATGACGGTCGTTTTCACTAGAAGTCGCAGAATCTTGGAAAAGCAAAACAAAAGCGAAATTAAAAAGGGAGAAAACTTTCGCAAAAAGGTAAGACCTTCAAAACTAGAGTTCTACGAGGAGGCGATTTTGAAGAAATTAAAGAGGGAGAACAGGAATTTCTGAAGATTTTCAAAGAGAGGAGCAAAATTCACAACGATTAACAAGCAAACACAGATACCCAACACACAAATTCAGAACACTCAGTCAGCAAGTTCGAGAACCCAATTAAAAAAGTTCAAAAATGCAAAATCTAAGACACAGGAAACATAAACTCAAGCGAGGAACAACTTACTCATAGTCGCAGATGAAGAAATCGAGAAAGCCGGAAGAGTGCAAGAGAAATCGCCGAGAAGAAAAGCAAGGGTTGCAGGAAAGTTTCAGAGCACAAAGGGTTCGAAAATTGCAAAGGTGGAAAAACTATGAAATTTCGCTAAGTACGGGTTATATACCTTGATAAGTTAAAGGGTTGAAGGATAAAAGCCATCAGATTAAAGCCAGATCTTACGGTGGAAAGTATTATTTCACACGGAGCTCAAAGTGGGCGCGTCATGCGAGGGGGTGCAATAATTAAAGCAGCTGACAGAAGTGGCAGGTGTGACGCGTGGAAGGAAAGTAGGCGCGACAGAAAGAACGTGTGACAAGCGACTTTATTTCTAACAATTAAAGAAGAATTAATTGAAAAAGTGAGCGGAAAACTCATCAGATGGTCAATACCGAATGTAATACAACCCAGGAGAGCGATGAGTACAAATACACTCTTAGATCGAGGCATTCAGACTCGACCAGAGTGGAGGGCGACTAGATGATATAGGATATTATACCCACAAGGCTAAACCGGTCTGCTGAACCGGTCGAAGGGGCAGTACTGTGAAGACGCCGAGCCAAGTGGCGGGAAGATCAAATAGTCAAACAGTCGACCAGTCAAGCTGTCAACCAATCCATCATTCGACCAGGAAAACGATCGAGTAGTTTAATCGACCACAACAGGTCGACCACTCCGCGGACTTAACACTTCACAAATTGTCTAGTCACAGGCGCGTGTAAGAGCCTCTAATGGAATTTCAGAAGAACATTCACTCTATGTGCATAAGGACACGTGTCGAGAACACATTGGTTGATAGCGACAACCACCTCTGACAGCTCCCAACGTCCCGCGCCACCTCTGACATGCGCGCGGTATCTCAGAGTACGGACGGGCAGCTTGGGCAGCCATCTCACCAAATCCGGGCAACCTTAGGTCAGGTATCTCACTCCTATATAAAGGGGTGAGCCTTTCTTCCTTAACACGATTTTCCATTATTCAACTCCAGTATACTCATACACATACTGACTTAAGCATCAGAGGCTCTTCACCGGACACAACCCCCGGTGTGAGATTTATTTGCAGGTTTTTTCGGCGTTCTACCAGCGGAGGCGGGGTTCAATGCATCCTAAACCGGTCCAGGACGCTCACACTTGCATTACATGACTTTTCTCCATTCATCATCCTGTAAAGCCTCTTGAACACTCTGTTTGTCCCATTTTTGTGTCATTATTTTGGGTTTATTTTCTCCTTATTTTCCCCCATTTATAGGATTTTCATAGTTTATTTGGTCCAATTCTGTGTTCTTTGTGTTCTCTGTCTTTTGTTTCGTTTTTGTGTATTTTTGTTGTCTTTGCTTCGTTTTCCCTTGTGTTCGTGTTTTCAGGAATTAGGATGTGATGATCGAGGGATAGACTATTGGGGCCGAGACCGTGATATCCGGGATACCAAGTTACCGAAACCGGGAAGCTGAAAGAAGGACCAGAAAGACGATCGTAACAGAAGGCCAGTTTTTCTCGCGACTCGCGAGTCGTGTCGCGACTCGCGACTTATGTCGCGACTCGCGAGTCAATCGCGACTCGCGAGATTTTCAGAGGAAGAACCAAATTTGTTGCCAGGAAGTCGCGACTCGCGAGTCAAATTCGCGACTCGCGAGGTTTTCAGAGCATCGAGGCGTTTTTTCGAGACACGAGTCGCGACTCGCGAGTCCATGTCGCGACTCGCGAGATAAGTCGCGACTCGCGAGTCGGGTCGCGAGTTTCCCCAGAAGTTTAAATATTTTTCGAAGACGCGCGAGTCGCGAGATGTCGCGACTCGCGACTCGGCAAAAATGTAAGTCGCGACTCGCGACTTAAGTCGCGACTCGCGAGTTGGCCGGCGCGATTTTCGAGGTCGGGATTTTAACATCAGAATTTCGACCTAGAGAGATATATACACATTCGAGACATCGTTTTTTCACTTTTTCTCTGGAGAAACTCATTCCTTTTCATGCTTTTACTCATTTGATTGGATTTTGGAGATTAAAAACTCTATTTTCCTTGCTCTGGATTGGATGTTTTTGGATTCAACATTGAAATATCATTATTAATCGTAAGTTTTTCCTTCTCTATTGTGTGATTGATGATGATGGCTTGGGTTCTTATGAATTTTTATGTTGAATTCCATATGAGTAGCTAAATCCATACGCTAGGGATAGGGGATGATTGATTAGGTTCGATAATAATTGCTTGTTCTTGATTGTTCATATCTATTCAAGTTGTGCTTATTCTAGGGTTAATAGATTGATCACCTGTTTAACCTAACCAATCAACGTGTGGAACCGTGAGGGGAGACGTTGGTCGATATAGGCTTGTTTAGAGTAGACTTGTTCGTAGCTGTATTGTCTATGCATTGCGGGAACTGATAGTTAATCGTTTACATCCACTCTCTTGTTCGTAACTGTATTGAGAGTGAACCTCTGAACGAGAAACGATTCAGGTCCTTAAACCGAGCAATTGATTGCCGGTAGCTGTGGTAGAACCGAAAGCAATTATCCCCGATTCCCTAGCTCTTTAGTCATTTGAGTAAATTCGTTTTCGGTTTAAGTTGCTTTTCATTTATTTTCAAGTCATTAGTTATAATCAAAACCAAATCCATTGAATAGAGTGTCTATGATATTTTCTCTTTTCCGTGATCGAATAAACGTACGATTGAATCCGGCTAACCTTCCTTGCGATACGACCCGGGGAACGAATCTTTCGATTCTACTCCGGTATCAATACTTACAACAAAATTGGCGCCGTTGCCGGGGAAGGTTTAGGACTTTAATTGTGCGCCTATTCGCTTATTTTTAGTGTTTCTCTTGTTTTTCTTTTTTATTTGTTAGGTGTTAGTTCTT